AACCCCATTCTCAATTGCCCTGAATAATGAAGAGCATAATGTACATATGTTTCTGCAATGTAAACAAATCATGTTTTTATTACATCCATCTGATTAAAATGTTTTATACGGTTAAGTTCAAAAAATCGATACAATCAAATCCTGCTTCATAAATATCAGATTGTTTATTTGATATTTTCGGTGAATTCTATCTCCCCATATTTCCTTTTCACAGCATTAGAAGCATAATCGAATCAAATTTATTCCTTGATCTAAATTATGTATTATATTTTCTGTCGACAGAATATGATATTTTATTTCTGTTACATAAAATTTACATTGATATATAGGAATATTTCTTTGGATAGAAGAGATAAATTTCTTTCAGTACTGAACAATAGTATATGTATAGAAAAGTTCGTAATATAGATGAATAAAATAAACGAATGTCGTTCAAGATATGAAAAAAATAAAAGAAGCAGACGCTCTTTCCATCATAAATAGCCTGCAAAAATATATAAACTTTGATTTATTTCTTCATTATTTGTTATCGGTTTTTCTAATACTCAATATTTCAGTGCCTATTGAACCTCTCCTCTAGCAAAGAAAAGGTACAAAACTCTCACGCGACAAAAATAGCACAAGATTCCGGTATAAACTTCGTCCGTTCGGTAAAATTCTAAAAAACGTAATGTGCGCGCGCGTGTGCGTGTGTACTTTTACACGTATGTGACATGTACGAGGAGGACTGTCGAAATAAACCTCTGCGAGAAATCCTTAGGGAGCATGGGGCCGTTATCAGTGTAAGCTCGTACGGACTCGACCGTTCGAGGCAAGATCGTGGAAAAAGAGCGGTGGCGCAGGGTCGTCAGAAAGGGGGATGGTTTTTCTACGAGGGAAAAAACTGGAGTGACCGTAGCTCCGGGAATACACCCGGTTCGAAGATGTTCGCCGACGACGGTTAGAGAGACCCGGTATATGAGAACTTTGCTACTTTCGGTAGCACGCGCAGCCACAGTTCTATTCACTTTTCTCATTAAGCAAATCTCAGAAGGAGGAAACGAGCTCGCGAGTAGAACTTTCGGTGATAAGCCCGGAGGAACACGCGGAAGCTGCGCCTTCGTCTTCTTTACACCGAGTCGTTTAATTCCTTCCTTCGAAAGTCGGCGCTTTCCTATGCTCTTCTCTCCTTCCTCTCTCTCTCTCTCTCTCTCTCTCCCTTCTTGTCTTGTATTAACACGATGCTTTTAAACGTCGAAGCAGGCCATCGTCGTCTTATTCGAGAATCTCGATATTACGTAGGCTCACCGCGTTACCTATGCCGCGACTTATAAATAAGAATGAACGTATTAGTATGCGTACAGTATAACGCAGTGGAATCAGCAATACCTTCTCCGTGTACGCTTCTTATCGATTCGCTGCTCTCGGCGTGTCGTTGAATTCAGAATTCCGCGTCGATCTCTTCACGCGCGCGGAAAACAGACTGGAGCGTAATTAAATGCGGAAATATAATATCTGTTTTTTATCTGCTTTCACGTTCATTAATATGAAAAAGAATGGAAATCATACATTTCCTATTTCTTCGTATTTTGTATGCACGCACGTAGAATATATTTCCTGGTAGAAATTTCATGCATTTTTTGAGCAGTTACTAGACAGTTTAATTATATTAACTCTGCAATACATTCAGTAACTCTAGTAACTGAAAAATAAAATTACTTATAATTGGAATCCCAATGAAGATGTAACGCTTTATCTGCTTATTGCACACAAAAGATGTATAAAATCCAAACCCATTTACTGAACAAAAACAGGATAATAAATGTACGCAGTATTTTATAATTAATAATAATTAATAATAATCTATCGATGCTAATAATACTAGACAATAATTGGAAAGATGTCTATGCAATTGCACATATTTTCAGCGGGATAATTGCTTCAGCCACTAAATAAAATTCTATCAAATTTTTGTTCATTTCCTACACAGTACACTGTTAAATATTGAACGAGCAGCGGTAAGGCAATCTCTTGAATTAAATCATATTTTGTTATTCTTAACTTGCATGCACGTCAAAACGTAAATCAACTCATTTCTGTGGTTGCTTTCGAAGTAAACAACGTATCCATATTAACATAATGCAATTTAGTAAATAATAAACTAAATTTGAGAACTAAATTTAATATATTTCTTTGAATTAAATTATTTAATTCCATTGTTTCAGTTAAATTAATGATAAATTGAGTAAAAGCAGTAGAGCGATCTTCAGAAATGATTAAAAATCACACTCAAATTAGGTTAATTTGATGGACTGAACAATGTATTGTTACAATACAGCAATACTATTATAGATAGTAACTAGATGGATGTCTAAGAAAACTGTATATATTTCTATCAGGATTACGCATTAGTAGATTCATGAGAAAAAGTTTATGCACATAAAATCTTCAAGACTTCAGAATTACTAGTTCTAGGATATCAGAGCAGGGATTGTTCAGAAAGTGTTATAATTTTCAAGATTATGATTATCCCTGCAGCTTCTGATGGGTTAGACCTCGTTTTTCAGACCTCGATTTTTCTCCTCTAACTTCTGCTTCTCGCACTGTGACTTTTCGGTGCTTCGCACCGAACGTTTCGCTCGCGCGAAATCCCGTCACGAGCTTTGCGGTGAGCAAACCGAACGGGTATCGATTTCAGTTTTACGCGGAGCAGAGCGTACAGCGGCGGACGCTGGCCTCTCTCAATCGCGCTTCGGCCGATTTCAATCGAGTCGATCTGAACCACTGATTAAAACGGTCGTAGGCATGCCGACTGGTCGGAGATAGTGTATGTATCGGTGGATTTGGATGTATCTCGGCGAGCCAACTATCTCGTCAATGAGATAAAGCTCGAATGGATTAAAGGGAAGAGCCGTCGTGCGAATGTAGTGCTATCCGGCTGGTGAGGTGGCGGCTGAGAGCATCAGGGGGAACGGTAGGAAAAGGGAAGATAATAGGGGGAAAGGGGATGAGTGCAGGAATCCGACTCGCGAATGCGTTTATCTCGATCCGCCGAGGTCGCGTTACATGTTCGCCACTGAGAAGCATTTCATCAACGTCATTCGCCCGCAGCCTTTCTCATCCTCCTGTCGTTCTCTCTCCCACTTCCCTTCCGTTCTCTTTCGCCTTTTGTTTCCATTTCTTCTCCCACTTATCTCGCTTTCACTCTTTCTCTCCGTTTTCCTATCTTTCTTTCTTCGCATCTCTCTCTCTCTCTCTCTCTCTCTCTCTCTCTTGTTCTTTATTTGTATTCTCTTCCTTTATAGACCTTCCCTCTATACGATTTTGTTTCCCTTCCGCTGATCTCTTTTTGTTTTGACAACGACGTACGGAACGCGAATATTTCCTCGCCTTTGCTCAGTGGGTTTGGTATCGGAGCGGACGTGTTTCGTCTGAACGAGAGACGGTAGGTAGAAACGACGATACTGTCGACGAAGCTGTCTGCGGCGATTCGTCGTCGTCTCGAAAACGAACGTGGTACATCCTGCCGAGCGGACAAATGTGTACGCTCCTAGGGTCTTCGGGTATCATAAATAATACTCATCGGTTTTTATAGCGAGCCATTATTACTCAACGACAAGTCATTGAACACAGAGAGAAACAATCGTCTCTTAACTTATTCTTTTCAATTATTATGACCGAAGACAGTGAAGTTAACTCAGCTGAATGCGATGACTAAATGCGATAACGGCGCGATATTTTTAACGGCTGAGAAATTTTTAAATTCCTTTCTAACAATTAAAATCATCCCTATTTTTGTGATTTCACTTTATACATATATTTTTATCATCCCTTTTTCATCGCAATTCAAACGAGAGAAATATTTTTTAAATAATGTTAATTTAAACTTAGTCGTATTTTAATCTGAAATTTTAGTGTTATAATTCGTAAGATTACAAATTGAACAAATTTGATAAATAACACTCCTTCTTTCTTTGGCGTCTTATTAGGGAAATTAATTTCAAATTCGCTTCAAGTTTAGTCATAGAAATTGTAATTAAAACTATATATCCGGTGATACCGAGACCCCTTATGTGCGAAATTTGTATGCTTCGCGTGTTCTTGAGTTATGTTGCGATAAAATCGCACACATGGGCGCAATTTTTTCGGAAGTCGGGGAAAGAAATTTACTTGTGCCGGTGAATGCGCAACTGTTTTTTTTTCTGCGATCTTTGCTGGAGATAAATCCAGCTCACACGAGTTCCGCTTGTCTATCGGGAAGATCATCGCATTCAGCGTGGGCACAAGATGAGAGTCGGGCTGCCGCACTTAACGCTAAATGGGCGATGAGAATGTCGACTGATGAAGCATTTGCGTTTGGCGTTTTTTCGCACGGGTAAGGAGATTCGGCACGATTATACCTGAAAGAATTGTTAGAAAGCTGACACCCCGCGTCGGACCGATTTTTCTACCCGCGTACACGTTACTCTTTGTCCGATGAAAGTGAGAACCAAAGCATAACATTACACATTCGCATTATATATTTTTACGCAAAATAATAATTGAAAGAAGTAATATTTATCATACATATAGATATTTTCGATATATATTATGTACATATTTTTACTAATTTATTATAATTCTTTTTTTTTTTTAACGTATTTTTATCTAAATTGTTAGCTGTTATTAGTTGTTATTATTAGCTAAATTGAGTGTATCAGTGTGATTACAGATACTTTCGTTTATTTTATCTTTTAAACATATCAGAAGCATTACTGTTCTCTCCCGAATTGTTCTGTATAACACAAGACTATGCTTCGCGTATTAAAGCGAGTCTGTTTCCGGTGCTAACACTGAGAGTGCCTGTCCACGTGTATCGCGAAGCGTGTAATACAATCGCGATAATTTGCCGTGTAGTACAATTATTGCGGAATTAACCGCGTCTCAAGGGCGCGGCTTTGCTGACTTACGTTATGCGGCGGTGCGATTATTACGACATTAATTTCATTTTGTGCTTCCTGTTGCAGGTCCGAAGGCGCGGAATAATTCGGAGCAACGGCTCGCTTTACCTCGCCTCGTCTCTTGCAGAAAACAATCCTCCGTTATTAGACGACTGCAATAAGCGTAATCGCCGGCTCGAAAGTAACGTGAGTATCAAGTATACTAGATCGCCGTCCCCTCTTGCTATACTCGCAGATTCTACACCGATCTCCTGACGATCGTTTTTGAAGCGTGTTTTCGTTCCACTTTCACGAAGAGAAAATTTCTCATGGAATTCTATTTTCCTCTTTTCTGTTATTGTTCCCTTTTACCTGGTCCGTTCAATGTTAGTTTTTCGCATTGACAGTGGATGTAGAATATGGTGCGCTTCGAGAAAGAGAACCTGAAATAGGATTATCCAGACTGGCTTGCTTACCCAAGTAGCACGAGAGTTCAAACAGCATCTTCTAAACTGTTCGTCTGATTTCTGTTGTCTTGATAGTCGGCATTATTTTGATGGGCGGTTTTACTTATATTACTATGCGCGCAAAGCTCATAATTATGATTTATACTCTTTCTCCGCTATCTACTCTGCAAACATCCTGCAGTTTATACATAATAGCGCGAGTTGTAATATACCGTTGCGGCGAGATGGTACTCGGCATTACTTCTGTGTCTATCATCTATCACGGTACGCTGCACACGAACCAATTAATCTTAATTGTACATTGGTATTGTACAGGAATGTGTTTGAGAAGGAACAATTACTTGTTCTGCTTTTCGCGAACAGAGTGCTATTATCCTTTTTTTTTCCTCTCTCTCTCTCTCCCCCCCCCCCCACGTAATACAAACTAATACGAACGCAATTCTGTATTTAAGGACAAATGTACGTACAAAAATTGCGGCGACTGAGACAACTTATGTTTCGAAATGCGCCAACCGAAGTGAAATTTTTCAAGCCACTTGTGCGAACGCGATTTGCCTCTCCATTGGTACAATTTTCGCAATACACTTCTGAATACTCGCCATCGTTTACGCCCGAACTGGTCGAGCTTTTCATCGAAACAGAATAGTAGTCGACATGAAAGGGCAAAAGAGACGGAAAGAGGGAAAAAGAAAGAATAAATGGAGAGGCAGCCTGTATGTTATCGAACGAATACGTCGATGTGTCGAGGCAAAATCGACATTCCAACTACTACGCGTGAATTTTTATATACGCCAGACGGAAATTTGGGATAGTCGGTCTTACAGAGGTTCCGGGGAAAAATAAAAATTTGAATGACAGCGCGCGCTTTGCGAAATAAATCTTGCTTTGTTCTAAGAAAATTAACTTTTGCTCCGTTCTAAGAAAAAAATGAGGTACTTATTGCGATGTTAGAACCGTAGGGCATGAAAGATTAAAGAGGAGACAGTCTCATTACCAAGAAATTGCACCGAAAGTTTGAAACTATCGGGTATCCGAACTGTTGCTAATGGCATGTGTTTCTAATCACTAGGAGTGCGCCGAGCAACAGAAATTTTCGAGAGAAGAGATCCGACATTTGAGTCTCTTCATGTCGGGGAATTGAATTGAATTTTGGTCCAGCTGATCGCTCAGAATGATTTTCGATTTACTCTGAATTTTCGAGTGCGATCTCTCGGCTTATCCGAATCTAGTATATCGATAGCAATCGTTTGAACTTCGCCATGTTTCCTGATTATTTTTTTCGTTTAACTTCGATATGAATTTCCATTTTGCGTCAAGGTTGCTCGTCCAGCATGGCCGGTTATTGTTGGCCCCTTGAAGAACCGAATAGAGCCCCAAACGATAACCCAGGTTCTTGACCTGTGTTCATAAAGGGACAAAAATTTTAAACCGCATTTTTAGACCCGACGGGTTCGTCATATACGTTAGTAATTGTCTTCGAGTCTTTAAGAAGCCGTACGAAAAAATTAGGTAATTAAGATGGCTGCCGCTGCATCTCCCGCCGTACACATCCCGTTCGTTTTGCTGCACTCTCTCCTTGGTCCTTCGCTTCTTTGGTTTCGAGACGAGGTTTTTACCGCGCTGAATGCTGCAACCGCTATGATATTGCATGCTGACAGAATTTTGATGCCGTACGTGCCGTATATGGGTATGGATATCCGCTAGTGCCTATTTCACGATTCTTAATCCTCGGCGAGGTCGCCCGAAACTACTTACCGTCGAAAAACGCTGCCGTGACGAATAAAGTAAAACGTGAAAAAAGATAAAATCATTTTTTTTTTTAATGGACTCGTATAGATCCCATTGTATCGAAAATGGAGCAAAATTTATGATACATGCAGAAGGCTAGACTGTTTGGTGGTATTCAGCTCGAGACGCTTTTGAACAAACAAACCTTTCTTCGGGTCACTTTCAAACAGGGAAACCATTTTTCAAACAGAATTGTATTGACTGCTGAACTCTTATGCTGCCCGCCTATAGTGTAGCTATTGTCAAAGATGCAATAGCTCGTCATTCAGTAAGCAGCAAAAAATATCAAGTTTAAATCTGTCTCGTATTTCGAATTAATTGTATTTTCATTATTCAAATTATTCTACTAAACTTACATGCCTTAATTAAACATCTTATGTTTGGCGCTTTTAAGTCTGGATGACAAACTGTTGTTTCGAAGTTGTTAATCCTTAAACACGGGTATCAATGGGGATATTCAAATTATGCAACAAAGCCGTATAGTGTAAAATTAAGATAGAACGTTTAACTAGATTTCACTTTAATATAACTTTTAACTTGAGAATTAATTATACAACGTTGTTATATATTTGAAAGAGTAATAAGAATATAGAATAGAAATAAATCAGAATTACACTGAAGCAAAAAACTTTATTAAGCAAAAAAGCATTCCTTAATTAGATAAAGAATCCAGAACTTAAAGGATGATCGTAATTTTGAAATATTCTATATAAAACTCTCGGATTCTTATTTCTCTTTATCTGACATCGTCAGAAGACCGAAGAAACTTATTTTCGTTATCGTAACGAAATAAGAAACGCTGGTTTCTTCGTCATTATAGCTGCGATTAAGACAAGAAAATTACTTCAATTTGATATAAATGTTCGTGGAACGATGTTATCGTTAATAATTTTGAAAGAAAAGGACTTCATTAAGATAACTTTCTTCCAAAGATAATTTTTCTTTTTTAAAATGTCGGATAAAGAAGCGTGAGAAGAGAAGATGAAACGTACACACAATGTTCCCGAAATTACCGTCACGGTTTTTGAGTGAAGCGAATAGTGATTTTGGACTCGAGAATCTCGAGATTAAAAATCTCGGGCATTTCACCGGGAGTGTCCGTGGTCCAGGCGAATGTCGGGATGCCGGTATCGAACGAAAATGTCGAGAAGAGAAGGGAGGAGCGACGCGTATCGCCGACGGTGAGATCAAGAAAGAGCGCGTCTCGTACTACCGCGATAACTGGCGTGATTCCAATGGACAAAGCGAGCAGGGTGGGCAAGAAGGGCGAAATAAAGGCGCGGACACAACACCCGAAAACGAATCCGGCCATTCTCGAAATAGGCACCTGGAATGCCGGTCCTCGGCAAGAGCTATTCCTTCATCAGACTTCGCGTTCCGAGTCACCCGTTCTGTCTCTTTCCTTCTTTCTCGCTATGCCTGTAATCTGTCTCGATCCTTGACTGCGCATGCCATTATCCTCGGCTATCATTAACCCCCTCAACTGCTGTAGTAGTCGAATTTGGATAACGCAACCGATTGGTGGGCTCTAATAAAGAAATGATGCCGTACTTATGTTAATGGATCGGCAAGCCATTTAGACCTTGACTCCGTAGCGATAAGAAAGACATGAATGCTTCGTAAAATTATAAAGAAATCAGAGATGCAGTTAGCGAGATTCCTCTTGCATTCTCTTCTCAAATACCTTATCAAATATTCACAATAAGGACTGCTTTGATCTTTCTATAATTGCTCAAAATTAAAGTTCGTTATCGCGCAATCATTTTTTAAACAAATTTCTTTTTTCATGTATTAATATATAAAAAAGAAATTTGTTTAAAAAATGATTGCGCGATAACGAACTTTAATTGTGAGCAATTAATTACACACACACACACACACACACACACACACACACACATTAATATATTAATATTTATGTTTATATTAGGTGCACGCCTAATAAGCTCTCTCTTGGTATAAAAGTTTCCATGAAAGTCCTTAGAATATTATCTTATCTCCGTTTTGTAGATAGAAAAGATATCTGCGATGTAGTACTTGAAATTAAAAGGAGTTCCATTCAGCCTTCTATGTCGTTTCGCGTAATCATTTTCGCGCGCATCACTTCGTTCCTAGGAACAAGCAAATATCACGCGGCGGTACGATTGCACCTTTCCACCCACACCTCCCCACAGCTATGAAGTTGAAAAGACTATTCGTGCGATCTCGGAAGGCATACCGAGATAGAACGGAATGGCGGGCGACGGCAAAGGAGGCGAAGCAGTGGAGATGGAGGCCACCGAGAAAGATACCGATGGCATTTAGTACCTTCGCTCGGAACGTTTCAGATAATGACTGGGTGGATTACTAGGTCTCTAGACGAGGAAAGAGGAGGGAAGACCTTTTTTCCTCTCGTTCGATTCCGCCGCTGCCGTTGCTCGGGTGAATCGAAACGAAGAGTGGAAACTGGACGCCAGAAGATCGGGGAATGAATAGCGAGAGCGAGAAAGAGTGAGAGACGTTGAAGGATCGACTGAAATGTAGGAGGAAACGAAGATGAAGGTGGTCAGTCGCCGTTCTGACGATAGCGAGCTTTCATTCCGAGGCATTATTCACATCGTTTTGCCAGACAAACGAACGAGGTGGAAAATTCGCCGGAGCGAGAAACATTGCGTTTTCGAGTGCGTCGTCCAAAAAAAGAGGAGTCCGCGATGTGTGTTGCCATCCCTTCGCCACCCCCGTTCCAACTACCAACGTATATAGTAACGGGTACTGCGCCGCGCCGGTTCGTTTGGTAGCCTCCATTTTTGTCTCTCCTCCGTTTTTTGTCCGACGTTTCTGTATTTGAGCACCTTTTTCCGGTGGTCGCAACGACAGCACCGTGCGTATATGTATCGTTTGCGAATATCTCGCGAAAAGAGGTGGTATCATCAATGCAGAAAGGAGTTGACTGACGAAACACAGAGTGATTGA